CCAAGTAGAATTCCTCTGGTGGAGATGATCACAGCTACAGAATCAGCCATCCGCAACAACAAAATTAAAGAGGGTGAAGCAGAACAACTCAGAATCAAAGTTTCAGCCTGCCTCAGCAATGCCAAACCACCACCTTCCAACATCAGTAGAGAGGAGAGGGACGCACTCACCACTCTTAGCAAGGACAAAAACATCATCATTCTCCCAGCAGACAAAGGAAGGTGCACAGTGATTTTGAACCAGAAAGACTATCATGAGAAAGTTATGATACTCCTTAGTGACTTAAACACTTATGAACCTCTGAAAAGAGATCCAGGAAGTGGTTACAAGAAGAAATTAATAGATTGCCTGAAAAATTTGGAGCAGGACAAGGCTATTGACCGTATTCTGTACCACAGACTGTACCCAGGGGAGGCCACACCTAGTCTGTATGGTTTACCTAAAATCCACAAACAAGGTGTACCTTTAAGACCTATTGTTAGCATGATTAACTCTGTCACTTACAATGTTTCCAAATATCTGGCGTCTGTACTCATCCCTTTAGTTGGCAGCTCAGAACACCACATACAGAACACCATGGACTTTGTGGATAAGGTGAGGGATGTCATCATGGAGACTGATGAAACAATGGTCTCTTTTGATGTCACATCACTCTTTACGTGCATTCCTGTTGATGATGCAGTAGAGGTGGTCAGTTTAAGATTAAAATCAGACACCACTCTGAGCAGCAGGACCACGCTTTCCACAGAACAACTGTGTCAACTCTTGAAACTGTGCCTGCAGTCAACCTACTTCACATATGGGGAGCAACATTATAGGCAGAAACATTGGTGTGCTATGGGGTCTCCAGTTTCTCCTATTGTTGCCAACCTGTACATGGAGGAGGTAGAAAAGAGAGCCTTGACGTCCTTTTCAGGGACACCACCAAGTCATTGGTTCAGGTATGTTGACGACACCTGGGTTAAAATTAAATCTCAGGAAGTTCAACATTTTACTGACCACATCAACTCTGTGGATAAATACATCAAGTTCACACGAGAAGATGTAAAAAATGGCAGGTTGGCTTTCTTGGACTGTGAGGTCTCAGTCTCTGATAGAGGACATTTGCAAACCGAGGTGTACCGCAAACCCACCCACACAGACCAGTATTTGCAGTTTGACTCCCATCACCCTTTGGAGCACAAGTTAGGAGTCATCAGGACTCTGTACCACAGAGCAGACAGCATCCCCACTAGCTCAGGAGCCAGGCAGAAGGAGAAATCCCACACAACACAGGCTCTAGAGCAATGTGGATATCCTAACTGGGCCTTCCTGAAAGCAGAGAAGAAACCCAAACAGGACTCCAGTCAGCCATCAGGTGAAAAGGAGGAACCCAGACCCAGACCAGTGGTCATTCCATATGTTGAGGGAGTATCAGAGAAACTGAGACGTTTATTTTCTAAACATAACGTCCCAGTGGCTTTTAAACCCCAAAATACATTAAAGACTGGTTCATCCCAAAGATCCAGTCCCCCGGCACAAACAGAGTAATATTGTGTATGTTGTTCAGTGTCAGGAGGGTGATCAGTCTTACATCGGGGAAACTAAACAGCCACTGGCCAAAAGGATGGACCAGCACAGAAGATCAACATCATCAGGCCAGGACTCTGCGGTCTACACTCATCTCCAGGCCAGCGGTCACTCTTTCAGGGATGAAGATGTTCACATCCTGGACAGAGAGGAACGATGGTTTGAGAGAGGAGTAAAGGAGGCCATCTTTGTGAAAAGACACCGTCCATCATTAAACAGGGGTGGAGCCTCCTGGTTCAACTGTCCCCCTCTTACAATGCTGTGATTGCTAGTATCACTCAGCCCTCTGTGAATAGTAAACAGCCATCAGGTGCTAATGATCCATTGTTAGGCTGATGGTCCTTCTTGAGCATGTGATCAGCTGGTTTTGGTTGTCAGCAGCAAACTGGTTGATCCACTCTGAGAGGGTGCTATTTAAGAGACTGAGCTGAATACAGGAAATTAGTAAATATGCCAAATGTTTAAACTAAGAAACTACTATTTTTATTAAATAAATGTGTCATTTTGAATTTGCTAGCACCAACAACGACACCACATTGACAGCTGCTTAAATCATTCTTTTCACCATTTTGATGTACGTTTTGTGTCTACAGGCCTGTTTACCTGTTTGTGATAACAAGCAGTTGAACAGGTGTTTCTAAAAAAAAAGTGGCCATTGAGCAGCTATTATTCAGGGTTCAGTGAAGAAAAGATGTGATAACAGCTTTACAGAAACTTGTTTCAACCCCTTCAAGCTACGGAAACTCTACAAGGGCAAACTATTGTAATTTCCAGTTTATAGATCACACCTGATATAAGCCGCGCACATTAAATTTAAAATAAAACACAATTTTGTACAGGGCAGCATGGTGGCGCAACT